TTTGCCCCAAACATAACACTTTGTATTCAGGACAAAAAGTGAATTGCTTTGCCACATGTTTTTCAGTATTACTTTAGTGCCTTGTTGCAAACAGGATGCATGTTTTGGAATATTTTTATTCTGTACAGGCTTCCTTCTTTTCACTCTGTCAATTAGGTTTGTGTTGTGGAGTAACTACAATGTTGCTGATCCATCCTCAGTTTTCTCCTGTCACAGCCATTAAACTCTGTAACTGTTTTAAAGTCACCATTGACCTCATGGTAAAATCCCTGAGCGGTTTCCTTCCTTTCCGGCAACTGAGTTAGGAAGGACGCTTGTATCTTTGTAGTGACTGGGTGTATTGATAATTCATCCAAAGTGTAATTAATAACTTCACCATGCTCAAAGGGATATTCTGCTTTTTAAATTTTTACCCATCTACCAATAGGTGCCTTTTTTGCGAAGCATTGGAAAACCTCCCTGGTCTTTGTGGTTGAATCTGTGTTTGAAATTCACTGCTTGACTGAGGGACCTTACAGATAATTGTATGTGTGGGGTACAGAGATGAGGTAGTCATTCAAAAATCATGTTAAACAGTATTGTTGCCACAGAGTGAGTTCATGTAACTTATTATGTGACATATTAAGCACATTTGTACTCCTGAACTTATTTAGGCTTGCCATAACAATACTTATTGACTCAAAACATTTAAGCTTTTAATTTTTATAACTTTTTAGAACAGAAAATAATTGTTCTGCTCCAGTCAAATCCAGTCAAATATCCTGAGAAATACGGTAGATACTTTGTAGATACAGAAGACCAATAATCCTCAGAAAAGCGATGATGGTGTATGGGTGTTTCTGACATTCTCTGGCTGATGGCCAATACTCTCACCCAGTTGTCTTGACTGAATGAGGTGACAAATCTCTACGTAGAAACATCGCCATGCCAATGACTCACCAAGCTGTACACAAACATAAAGGACAACGGGGATGTGTGAATGATGTATCTCATTATTTTGAGGCAATCAGAATTATCCTAAGGTTGACATGAGAAAATGTTTATTAATAAGAGACTATTTGATGCATGACTTACTGGTGTGGACACTAAAGGCTTGAAAAACAAGAAAAAAGGTGGCAATATTAGTGTTTGTCACTCGTGAGACATTCAAATGATGTAGAAACAATGTTGATTGAAACAGTGTGTGCCCAGTGGGTAGTTGTTTCTTGTTGAATGACAACAAACACTTCATTGAAGAATCCCGTCCATAGTTCCCAGAAAATTATAAACGTTGCACGTTTGATGACGTGCACTTCCGGGTAAACTAACGCTGTTAGAATCAACAAAATCCTTCTGCATAAAAAGGAAAAAAATCAGCTAGGAGATTCTACTATGGATTGAAAATGCAATCATTTTTATCATAGTTCCCTAGGAGTATGCAATCATAGTATGCAATCATAGTTCCCTAGGAGTAGTACGGTTGACCAATCACTGACGAAGGGGCATAGACTTCGGCTGCCGAACTTCGACCTGCCTCAAGAAAAACTTGGACTTGCCTCAAGAAAGAAATTGTGTGCTCGAAGAGCCTAAAAAAAACCTGCAGAACAACAAAACAAACAAAAACATCACAAAATGTCATCATAATATATGCATGAACTGTTTCAACTGGGAAGCATGCGACAGGCTTTAGAGATGACTGGGGCAGTCAGTGCAGTAGAACATATACAAAGAATGGCACCAATAGAATTAGTCACAACTGTGATTTTGCCAAATGTCTTCTCTCATTACTGCCAGGAGGGTTATCAGTAAGGAAAGCGTTTAGCTTTTGTCCTGTTATTTAGGCCTGACTTTCGGTGTTTGTAGTAGTTTAATCTCAGAACCCATAACCAAATCTCACGTGCTCTGGCCAGAAGTCTGTTACAAGATGTGTCTAGTAACAGTAGTATGTATGGTAGATTTAGCACAATTGCAAGAACATTAACTTGTGTGAGTCTTACTCAAACTTAATGTGGCCATATTTGCGAACATAAGCACACATTTAAAGTTAAACAGGAGCTCACGCACAAAATGCATGTCAGCCAATTAAAATAGTTGATTACTTGCATGTGACCAAAGGCTAAATTGTAGCTGGTCCCATCAGATAATATGGTACAAGTTAGACCTATGCTAGCCTCATCAGGTGGCAGTGATTACATCCTGGCACAACTTTCTATTCATTTAAAATATATCAACCCTGGCCACTAGAGAGATATTTTAAACCTACAAATTCAAGATTTACGTGTTCCGTTGGTCTGTAACAAAATCTTGTATGCCAATATTGCACTGATGCATCCATGCATTGGTAACTAGTTTATAATTAAGCAATAAGGCCCGAGGAGGTGAGGTATATGGCCGTTATACCACAGCTAAGGGCTGTTCTTGCGTCGTGCCTAAGAATAGCCCTTAGCCGTGGTATATTGGCCATATATCACAAGCCCCCGAGGTGCCTTATTGCTATTATAAACTGGTTACCAACGTAATTAGAGCAGTAAAAATAAATATGTTGTCATACCCGTGGTATACGGTCTGATATACCATGGCTGTCAGCCAATCAACATTCAGGGCTCGACCCACCCAGTTCATAATATATAAAATAGATACAGTGGGGGAAAAAAGTATTTAGTCAGCCACCATTTGTGCATGTTCTCCCACTTAAAAAGATGAGAGAGGCCTGTAATTTTCATCATAGGTACACGTCAACTATGACAGACAAAATTAGAAAAGAAAATCCAGAAAATCACATTGTAGGATTTTTAATGAATTTATTTGCAAATTATGGTGGAAAATAAGTATTTGGTCAATAACAAAAGTTTCTCAATCCTTTGTTATATACCCTTTGTTGGCAATGACACAGGTCAAACGTTTTCTGTAAGTCTTCACAAGGTTTTCACACACTGTTGCTGGTATTTTGGCCCATTCCTCCATGCAGATCTCCTCTAGAGCAGTGATGTTTTGGGGCTGTCGCTGGGCAACACGGACTTTCAACTCCCTCCAAAGATATTCTATGGGGTTGAGATCTGGAGACTGGCTAGGCCACTCCAGGACCTTGAAATGCTTCTTACGAAGCCACTCCTTCATTGCCCGGGCGGTGTGTTTGGGATCATTGTCATGCTGAAAGACCCAGCCACGTTTCATCTTCAATGCCCTTGCTGATGGAAGGAGGTTTTCACTCAAAATATCACGATACAAAATCCCATTCATTCTTTCCTTTACACGGATCAGTCGAGTTTTTACCAAAAAGTTATATTTTGGTTTCATCTGACCATATGACATTCTCCCAATCCTCTTCTGGATCATCCAAATGCACTCTAGCAAACTTCAGACGGGCCTGGACATGTACTGGCTTAAGCAGGGGGACACGTCTGGCACTGCAGGATTTGAGTCCCTGGCGGCGTAGTGTGTTACTGATGGTAGGCTTTGTTACTTTGGTCCCAGCTCTCTGCAGGTCATTCACTAGGTCCCCCCCGTGTGGTTCTGGGATTTTTGCTCACCGTTCTTGTGATCATTTTGACCCCACGGGGTGAGATCTTGCGTGGAGCCCCAGATCGAGGGAGATTATCAGTGGTCTTGTATGTCTTCCATTTCCTAATAATTGCTCCCACAGTTGATTTCTTCAAACCAAGCTGCTTACCTATTGCAGATTCAGTCTTCCCAGCCTGGTGCAGGTCTACAATTTTGTTTCTGGTGTCCTTTGACAGCTCTTTGGTCTTGACCATAGTGGAGTTTGGAGTGTGACTGTTTGAGGTTGTGGACAGGTGTCTTTTATACTGATAACAAGTTCAAACAGGTGCCATTAATACAGGTAACGAGTGGAGGACAGAGGAGCCTCTTAAAGAAGAAGTTACAGGTCTGTGAGAGCCAGAAATCTTGCTTGTTTGTAGGTGACCAAATACTTATTTTCCACCATAATTTTCAAATAAATTCATAAAAAATCCTACAATGTGATTTTCTGGATTTTTTTTCTTCTCAATTTGTCTGTCATAGTTGACGTGTACCTATGATGAAAATTACAGGCCTCTCTCATCTTTTTAAGTGGGAGAACTTGCACAATTGGTGGCTGACTAAATACTTTTTTCCCCCACTGTATATAAGCCATTTAGCAGAAACTTTTATCCGAAGCGACTTACAGTCATGCGTGCATATATTTATACGTACTACTAACATTTGACAACATTTTCACGTTTTTGGATATATGACAAAATCCATATTTTGGGTTTATCTAAAACAATGTAAGCGAGGTATGAAATTATTATGTTTTAGTAAAATATTATATCTGTTTGGGATTCTTGTGGTCAATTTTCAGTCTATAATTTTTTTGTAATTATGTTCTGGCCCCTTACTATCTGCTCAAGAAAATATCGACCCGTGGCTGAATCTAGTTGATGATCCCTGGCCTAGTTGCTTTGATGATCAGAAAGTGCTTTGTGACTGAGGTATGTTAAGGACTACATCTTCAATTTTAATTGGCTGCAAAAGTTGTGCCAAGATGTAATTACGATATCTGATGGGACTAGCTACAATTTACAATACATGCAAGTAAATAGAACATTTGAATTGGCTGATATGCATTTTGTGCGTGAGAACCTGTTTAACTTTAAATGCTTGCTTATTTTCACAAGTAAGGCCCCCTTGTATTTTCTATTAGCTGATACTAGCTTTGCACATTTTGAATTTGATCAACCTGCATGCTCAAAGTTAAATAGCCTGTTTTTGAGCAGAATAAAAAATACAAAATAACTGTGTGTCTCAGTCGGTGAGTCTCAGTCTGCCTATCTGTCTGCCGGTCTATCTCTCTCTGTGTGTGTGTGTGTGTGTGTGTGTGTGTGTGTGTGTGTGTGTGTGTGTGTGTGTGTGTGAATTGGCACTACTTACTGTATCTCCCGATTGGCCTCTTCTATGACCGCTCTTCTCATCCCATCACCCCTCCTGTCCCCCCTGTAGCCATAGCATTCAACTACTTTATCAATAGTACTCTGCCCTCAGCCTTGGCTGTTATATAAAGAGACTGGGACACTGTGTACCTTCCCATTCTGATTCTGCCCAAAGTTCACCAGCCCACAGAACCAACATGCCTGCAAACTTCAATGGCAAATGGGAGATGGAGAGCAGTGAGAACTTTGAGGATTACTTGAAAGCACTGAGTAAGAACTTTCTTCATTATCTCTATGGATTACTACAATGGAATATATAATATTTTTCCATCCATCTGCAGAGAAGGATGATAAGAAAAGGGGATGTACTAGTACCTGTGCAATGTGCATGACCACTGCCAATATGTTGTAACTGTATAATGTAACAATATGAAGGTCTATTGTGCATTAGAGTTAGATACTACCTTCAGCAGGATTAACTGAGAGATTCACATAGGAACCACCTCAATCTGCTGTGCAATATGTAAAATGTATAGTGGTGCAACATTGCATACCGGTATGTTGCTTTGATTATATATTTTACATAGAGCTAAAAGGTTCAACTCAAGTATTGCTAGTGTCCTTTTAGACAGCTTTGATGTCATAAACGTGTTATTATTTTCAGTTACATCATTATTACTCAAATGTTACGTGTGATTTGATCCTTCCTACTTTTTCATGCTTTTCCACATTTTAAATTTTTTACGACAGACATTGACTTTGCCACACGCAAAATCGCAGTGCACCTGGCCCAGACCAAAGTGATCATCCAGGATGGAGACAAGTTTGAAATCAAGACGCTGAGCACATTCAGGAACTATGAGTTCATGTTCACTGTGGGGGTGGAGTTTGAGGAGCACACCAAAGGACTGGACAACAGGGTGGTCAAGGTTGGACACGTGGGCTATGTTCGAATACTTATACAATGCATCCTTCCTTGCTCTCTTTTTGGATGTACATGTAATCACTGCTGATCTAACGTGATTAGCTAGATGTAAGCAAGGATTTAATACAATAAAAAGTCCAGTCACATTAATGATTACTTCAAATAAGGAAGAAAGGAAGGATGTAGCTTTAAAATATTTGAACATAATCTCAGAATGGTCCATCTAATCCTCATCTTCCTCCTCTGTTTTATCTTCTTCTTCTTCTTCTTCTTCTTCTTCTTCTTCTTCTTCTTCTTCTTCTTCTTCTTCTTATTATTATTATTATTATTATTATTATTATTATTATTATTATTATATTTTGCTACTTTATTGATTGTTTCTTTTTTTCTGTCCTCAGACCTTGGATAATAGCTTTTTCACTTCTGTGTTACAAATGTGGTTTCCTTTATAGCCAGACACTGACAATTCATGTCAATTTTGACTGTATCTTAACAGGCTCTTGTGGTGTGTGAGGGGGACAAACTAGTGTGTACCCAGAAGGGGGAAAAGGACAACCGTGGGTGGAAGCAATGGATTGAAGGAGACAAACTGTACCTGGTGGGTTAACATTATTTACTTAAATTATCATTTTGATGATAAGTTATACTGTAGTATTAAAGAAATAGCAGTATAGTATCGCCATCCTTAACATTGCAGATATAAATATTAATCTGGGCCTGAAATTATTCCATACTCTGCATGAAAGAGAACATGTCAGTGCAGCACGTCAGACAGTTCTGTACTTCTACTGTATCTCAAGATTCTCTAAATGTTGCACCTTCCTCATGAGCTGATGAACAGCATAGAGATATCGCCATGTGCAGAATATAAATGGATGTGCAACTTCTTTTACAGACAGGAGAATGAAATTCCTAGGTAGCATCAAAGATGGTGGATTATAAAAATGACCCAAAAAGGCCTTTTACCATTAAACTTTTCTACCAGTCTACTTAAGGGGTGGATCTCCCATAGGCACCAATGCGATAGCCTTTCTACTTAATTCATTCGCCACGCACCAATCAGAAAAAAAGGAGCCTATGAAATGTCTTACTTTCTCTATCATCTCTGGTAGCATCTCAATGGTCCTTTCCTTAATTTGCACTGATCGACCAGGACTAACCTGTTCCTTCAAAGAGACTGAGATAAGGCGATGAATATGGCACCCCAGCTCCCAATCCCAAACTTGATATCTGACTTCAGACTGAGATCTGACTTCAGATTTCTTCTCTCTGAATTCACAGGAACTGACGTGTGAGGACAAAGTCTGCATGCAGGTGTTTAAGAAAAAAGAATAAAAGACAATATCTGGATATCAGTTACTGGATTCATCCACTTTTTCATACCTTCTGTCAATATAGTAAACTCCTGTTGTTACCCTTTAAACTTGTCATATGGTTTCAAACTCACAAGGAAATCTGAATAAAGCATTGTATATTGTTCACTCTTCTAAGCCTATTGGTAATATATTTTTTTATTTTTGTTGGGAAAATCCTCCATAACTAATACATTGTTAGTCTTTTCATACAAATGAAACAGTCATACGATAGCCTAAACCTTCTTAACGTTGACCATGGGAACCCACTATTATTGCTAAATTTCCCTCCAACTGATCCATAATTAGACACTCAGTTGTTTCTCATCCTCTGGTTCATTGACTGGAGCCCGTCCGTGGGATGTGGCTTTTCTGTCGCTGAGATAGTTAACTTACACTAATTGTGTCCGTTTTACAGTGCTATTTTAATGTGAGTGTCCCCCACGGAGGAAAAGCCATAACTTGCTGGTCCCTGACACAAGAGGGACCATAGCTTGCTGGCATAAAATAACTTTGAGAAACTACTACCTCATGAAAGACAATCCCTGCATGGCCATTAGGTGATACACAGAGACGCCTCCCAAACCATTTAGGAACATAAACTGGTAGGTAGTAGGCTCTGGACTACACCAGTCTTACAAAGATTAATTAACAATTTGGGCCATCATAGTGATTAATTTTGCCCTGAAAATAACCCTGTCTGAACATGCTTGTAAACTGCAGTTCTTAATATGCACAATATGTACAGTATATGTTATGTTTGAAATAATACTTTTAACAAAGTTAAGGCTAAACTACAGACAGCAGTGCAGCTCAGGACACCATGGAAAAATTGGGGAAAAGTGCCACGACCCAAAATGACACTCGAAATGGCACGTCATCGTTTACCATAGCACGCCGTTTCAGGAAGTTCCACGTCACTCGACAGTCCGTCCACAGAAAACGCAACACCGACTGGGACTATTCATAATTCATTCCATAAAAAGAGACAACCCAGTGATAAAACATGGTGAGACAAGTGTACATTCGTTGTTGAAAGATTTGTAGTCTGATTTGCATGTAACCAGTTTATTTCAGTAAAGCCGGTGTCGATTGAGACAGGCCAGCCATGCTAACTAACTTAGCTATCTACAAAACAAGCTAGTCCTCTGTAGCTAGCTAGGTATTTTACCATTTACCGACCTAGCTAGTCCGATTAATTCTTATTTATTGGGATGATAATAGCTAAGCACTCGCCAACTAGCTTGCTAATTTAGCAAGGATCATGCTAACTAGCTAGTTGTACTAGCTAAGTCTATCCGTGGCAAGGATGCTCGTCTTCGTAGCTAGCTAGTTATCATGTCACATCTTCATACTAGGCGTGAGCAGTTAGCTAACTTGTTCTTTCTACATTTTGCGTGTAAAATCGTTTTATTTTGATGGTACGGTACCTTGATGGCTATTGCGTCAGTGTTTACGTTTTTTTGGATATGAACATGAAGGATTATGAATTGGTCGTGTTTATAAGCTAACGTTATCATTATTAGTAAGCTAGTTAGCTTTCTGCAATCACAACAGTACGTTGTGCACTGCTCTGTCTGTTTATTTGGATTGAGTTGACAGCGTCTCATCTGTCTCACAGCCTCTCAGGCTGGACATCAAGCGGAAGCTGACAGCCCGGTCGGACCGGGTGAAGAGTGTGGACCTCCACCCGACCGAGCCGTGGATGCTGGCCAGCCTGTACAATGGTAGTGTCTGCGTCTGGAACCATGAAACACAGGTACATACACACCGTTTGATGTTGAATACTTGGAGATACATAATGGAGATAAACAGCTCTAAGCTAAACTTGTATGCAATGAATGAGAATGTACAATTTGTAAATATATCCTTTCCAGACCTTGGTGAAGACCTTCGAAGTGTGTGACCTTCCAGTGAGAGCATCGAAGTTTGTAGCCAGGAAGAACTGGGTCATAACAGGAGCGGTGAGTGATACTTTAAATTCAGGACAAGCATCTAGATAATGAGAAATGAGAACATCTGATGGTTTATCTTCCACCACTTTGCGTGGACTTTAAGAATGGCGACTACACGCTTACTGTATTTGCAGGGTCATATAATGTCTTTCTCCCCTTCTCTCTGTAGGATGACATGCAGATCCGTGTGTTCAACTACAACACCCTGGAGAGGGTTCACATGTTTGAGGCCCACTCTGACTACATCCGCTGTATCGCCGTGCATCCCACCCAGCCCTACATCCTCACAAGCAGTGGTACACAATCAGTAACTTCTCTTTTATGACCCGCGTTGTTTTATACGCGGGTCAAATACACAAACTCATTATCTATCACACAAGTATTATATTAACTAATTGTTCCATCCTGTGTGTGTGTGTCTCCAGACGACATGCTGATTAAGCTGTGGGACTGGGAGAAGAAGTGGTCTTGCAGCCAGGTGTTCGAGGGTCACACCCACTACGTCATGCAGATCGTCATCAACCCTAAAGACAACAACCAATTTGCCAGCGCTTCTCTGGACAGAACCATCAAGGTGACTTTACCACACAAGTCGTGTGTGTGTGCTTATAACAACCTAGTGTAGATGTTTGTGAATAGTGTGAGTGTATGCATTTGACTGACTCATCCTCTGTCCTATTCCAGGTGTGGCAGCTAGGCTCTTCTGCTCCTAACTTCACCCTTGAGGGCCATGAGAAAGGTGTCAACTGCATTGACTACTACAGCGGAGGGGACAAGCCCTACCTTATATCAGGAGCTGATGACCGCCTGGTCAAGATCTGGGACTACCAGGTAAGACGGCTGAGGAATGAAACAATTAACACTTTTAGCCTGAGAAAGCTGAGCTGGTAACCTGTTCAGCAGATGGGTTTTCTGGTCTTTGATGATACTGGATTTTGTCTGAATGTGTATCGGTCCAGGCAAATGTCTCACACTCCTGTCCTGTGTCTCTTTAGAATAAGACGTGTGTGCAGACCCTGGAGGGACACGCCCAGAATGTGTCGTGTGTCAGTTTTCACCCAGAGCTGCCCATCATCATCACAGGCTCAGAGGACGGTGAGTAAATAAATACCTTATGCACTCTATTAGATTCTGATCCTTTGTAGATACTTGTTCTGTTGGTGGTGAGCAGATGAATGGCTATGTATTAGCTCCAACTCTATACAATATGTGCATGGTTTTTACATATAAAAAAGTGAAATAAATAAAACCTCACAAACATGCACTTGAGCAAACAATCACAATTCTGAAAGAAAACAATCCTTCCTCTGGTTCCATAGGCACTGTGCGCATCTGGCACTCGAGTACGTACCGCCTGGAGAGCACGCTGAACTACGGCATGGAGCGTGTGTGGTGTGTGTGTGGCCTGCGAGGCTCCAACAATGTGGCCCTGGGCTACGACGAAGGCAGCATCATCATCAAGGTGTGGAATAGAAACTTCAATGGCCATATACACTACATGACCAAAAGTATGTGGACACCTGCTCGTCGAACATCTCATTCCAAAATCATGGGCATTTATATGGAGTTGGTTCCCCCTTTGCTGCTATAACAGCCTCCACTAGATTTTTTAACATTGCTGCAGGGACTTGCTTCCATTCAGCCACAAGAGCCTTAGTGAGGTCAGGCACTGATGTTGGGCGATTAGGCCTGGCTCACAGTTGGCGTTCCAATTCATACTAAAGGTGTTCGATGGGGTTGAGGTCAGGGCTCTGTGCAGTCCCGTCAAGTTTTTCCACACCGATCTCTACAAACCATTTCTGTATGGACCTCGCTTTGTGCACGGGGGCATTGTCATGCTGAAATGGGAAAGGGCCTTCCCCAAACTGTTGCCACAAAGTTGGAAGCACAGAATCATCTAGAATGTCATTGTATGCTGTAGCGTTAAGATTTCCCTTCACTGGAACTAAGGGGCCTAGCTCGAACCAGGAAAAACAGCCCCAGACCATTATTCCTCCTCCACCAAACTTTACAGTTGACACTATGCATTCGGGCAGGTAGCGTTCTCTTGGCATCTGCCAAACCCAGATTTGTCCTTCGGACTGCCAGATGGTGAAGCGTAATTCATCACTCCAGAGAACGCGTTTCCACTGTTCGAGAGTCCAATGGCTGCGAGCTTTACACCACTCCAGCCGACGCTTGGCATTGCGCATGCATGGTGATCTTAGGCTGGTGTGCGGCTGCTCGGCCATGGAAACCCATTTCATGAAGCTCCCGACAAACCGTTCTTGTGCTGACGTTGCTTCCAGAGGCAGTTTGGAAGTCTGTAATGAGTGTTGCAACCGAGGACAGACGATTTGTACGCGCTATGCGCTTCAGCACTCGGCGGTCCTGTTCTGTGAGCTTGTGTGGCCTTTGTTGCTCCTAGACGTTTCCACTTCACAATAACAGCACTTCCAGTTGACCGGGGCAGCTCTAACAGGGCAGAAATTTGAAGAACTGACTTGTTGGAAAAGTGGCATCCTATGACAGGACCACGGTGAAAGTCACTGAGCTCTACAGTAAGGCCATTCTACTGCCAATGTTTGTCTATGGAGATTGCATGGTTGTGTGCTCGAATTTATACACCTGTCAGCAACGGGTGTTTCTGGAATAGCCGAATCCACTAATTTGAAGGGATGTCCACATACTTTTTGTATATATAGTGTTTTTGTGCATAAGATTCAAAACTGAAGAACGACAGATGATTCACAATGTTTCACAATACAGAGTTTGATAAAATTTCAGTTTGTACACTTTGCGCACATACTCTTTAAAAGTACCCTTCTATGTTGAAACAACTACTCGGTGACATCTCCTCTGAAAGCCATGGTACTTTACTCAGTCCGTCCTCATCTCCTCCTCCCATGTGTGCTGTAGCTGGGGCGTGAGGAGCCAGCCATGTCCATGGACACCAATGGGAAGATCATCTGGGCCAAGCACTCAGAGGTGCAGCAGGCCAACCTGAAGGCCATGGGCGACACAGAGATCAAGGACGGAGAGAGGCTGCCGCTGGCTGTCAAAGACATGGGCAGCTGTGAGATCTACCCCCAGACCATCCAGCACAACCCCAACGGAAGGTCAGTCCACACTGCATTGGAGTCCGACGTCAGCTATTCAGTGAACCTATTAAATGTCTTGCACAACAACTACATGTTAGTGTTTGTGTGCCACACATTTAGAGGCAAAGAAGTTGTTTTCAAATGTTTGGAGAAATATGAAATTCATATTTCTCCAAACACTTCAAGTCTGTTGGAAATCTGGATATTTTATGGAGCCTCTCTTTAATCCAAATGTGTTGTTTGTGTTGTCAGGTTTGTTGTGGTGTGTGGAGACGGAGAGTATATCATCTACACTGCAATGGCCCTGAGGAACAAGAGCTTCGGCTCAGCCCAGGAGTTTGTCTGGGCCCACGACTCCTCAGAGTGAGTCCAACACACACACACACACACATTCTTTGCTATGGAAGGTTACTGTCTGTCAGTGGTTAATGTGCGCGGTCTTCCTTGTCACAGGTATGCCATCAGGGAAAGCAGCAGTTTGGTCAAAATCTTCAAGAACTTCAAGGAGAAGAAGTCTTTCAAGCCAGACTTTGGGGCTGAAGGTAAGTGGAAGAGATCAGACGCAGGTAGTTCGTAGTGTGAACAAAGATACTGCATAAAAATTATTATGGCAGTTTTGATTGAACCTGGCAGGCAACCGATTTTTGTAAAAATGTTTTGCAACAGAAAACAAAAATGTGCTTTTTTTTATTGGACATGTCCAGGTAGTCACTCCCTGTTTGTCTGTTTTGGGTACCTAATGAATACTACCCTGATGTCACATTAAGCTTCCTGGGTGTGTGTGCAGGTATCTATGGAGGCTTCTTGCTGGGCGTCAGGTCAGTGAACGGTCTGGCCTTCTATGACTGGGAGAACACAGAGCTGATCCGCCGCATCGAGATCCAGCCCAAACATGTAAGTACTGCTGTAGAGAAAATGGCATCTTTATCAGAATATAGATGGGTGCAAGAGTGTCCTATCATGTACAAGTGTTTTGTTTTGGTCAATGTTTGTTTTTACACCTAGTACCGTATTGATAGAAATGTGCATATGACACAATTGCATTATCATCATCATGAAATCAGGACTGTAAGTGAAGCACGAGAACACTGCATCTCCCTCTCTCATTCCCTCTCTCTCTGATTGTAGATCTTCTGGTCAGACTCAGGGGAGTTAGTGTGTATAGCCACAGAGGATTCCTTCTTCATCCTGCGCTACCTGTCGGAGAAAGTGGCCGCCTCCCAAGAGAACAATGAGGGCGTGACAGAGGACGGCATCGAAGACGCCTTTGAGGTGTGTGTGTGTGTGTGTGTGTGTGTGTGTGTGTGTGACAGGCTAATAGACTAGTAGACTATGCTACTCTACAAGCGAGGCTTATGGTTTCAACTGAAGACAAAGCACAATGCCTATAGCCATCCAGTAGAGGGCACTAGTGAACACTCAACATCTGCCCACCCTCCCTCCCCAATCTGGCTGCCATTTTGTGTCTTGATCTACCAGGTCCAGGGGGAGATCCAGGAAGTGGTGAAGACAGGTCTGTGGGTGGGAGACTGCTTCATCTACACCAGCTCTGTCAACAGACTCAACTACTTTGTGGGGGGAGAGATTGTCACCATCGCTCACCTGGACAGGTACGGTGAACCAGGGTCGTATATTTATTAGTGCACAGCGTAGCAATATATTTTGCAACGGAAAACAAAAAGAAGCGTTTCTATAAGACATTATCTATCTGCTCCATCCGTAGGACCATGTACCTGCTGGGCTACATCCCCAAGGATGACCGCCTGTACCTGGGCGACAAAGAGCTCAACATTGTCAGCTACTCCCTGCTGGTGTCTGTGCTGGAGTACCAGACGGCTGTGATGCGCAGGGACTTTGGCATGGCTGACAAAGTGTTGCCCACCATCCCCAAGGAGCAGAGGACCCGTGTGGCCCACTTCCTGGAGAAACAGGTCAGAACCAGGAACTTCCTGATCTCGAAGGAAGTGAGGCATGTAGAATGGGGTATTTTAACTCTATGGTGGAGCTGGGGGGGGGCTGAGTAGATTCTAGCTACTCTATGGAATGTTATAGGGTGTCCAATCCAAAACGCATCTTTTGACCAAAGGGTAAAATAATGTTAATTGTGTATATAATCCTCCTAAGAAAACCAATGGTCCAAACCTCATGTCTCAAAAGCTGAGTTTTTACCCTTGTAGGATGGCCAGAATTAGGGAGACTAAATCAATGGAGGCCAGAGGAAAAAAGTAGTAAAATCAGGAAAATTGCATCGCGTCAGCTAGGCTGGATTCTCTGCAAGGCTCACTTTCACGTTGAACTCGTCATCTTTCTTCTCGAATCCGCAGGACATAAAACAATATAGAGGTAAGATGGATATCGATTTTGAGACATGACGTAGTATTTTAATATTTTTGTATAAGCTTCTCATATTAATTTGAAATTCCTGGTCTTTTTAGAAGTATTCTTACAAAAACAAGCGTATCTCTGAAATGTCAATGGAGCACTGACTGTATACCAGGCTTTTTATTTTCAAAGCCTTTTACATTTAATTCAGCTTGTGTTATGCTAATTTAGCTTTTTGCGATCCACTGAAACAACTTTGAAGACGACGACCACAAAATGTTAAATCCTCAAAAGTTGTTACGATTAACCTGCACCGCTATGTCAATAGAGCTCGGTGATTCTTATCAGATGTATTAGGTTACGAAATCCAACTTTTTGGATATAATGTCAATGATTAGTAATGGGTAGAAAAATGTATACTGTTACATATCGGGATATTATTTTTGATGATATATAATTCTGGGCTCTTCATCTTCAACACGAATCAAGCCGCGTTTGTGTGGCTGCTGTTGTATGTTGTGAGAACTAACTGTGTGTTTGTGTGAAATGCTACTATGTTTACTGATATGGTCTTTTTGGTCATCCCAGGGCTTCAAGCAGCAGGCTCTGGCCGTGTCGTCAGACTCGGAGCACAGGTTTGAGCTGGCCCTGCAGCTGGGGGAGCTGAAGATCGCCTATCAGCTGGCTGTGGAGGCAGAGGTGAGACCTAAAATACACTAGGCTATGGAGAGACCACTTCACACACTACAAGCGGGTTCAAAGGCTATAAAAATCAAATCCAATTTGATTTGCCACGCGCCGAATACAACTGGTGTAGACTTTACCGTGAAATGCTTACTTACGAGCACTTCCCAACGATGCAGAGTAAATAAATAAATAAAATAATATGAATAAAATAGTAACACAAGGAATAAAATACACAAGAATGGAGCTGTATACAGGGAGTACCAGTACCAGATCAATTACGAGGGATTTGAGGTAGATATGTACATGAAGGCAGGGTAAAGTGACTAGTCATCAGGATAGAGAATAATAAGAGTAAAATAAAGAACAGAGTAGCAGCAGCATATGAGTGTAAAAGTGTGTCTGTGTGGGTGCTTATGTAGTGTATGTGAATTTGTGTGGGAGTGCCAATGTAGTGAGTGTGTGTGTGTGTATATGGTTTGTATACACTTAGTGTACAAAACATTAAGAACACCTTAATATTGAGTTGCACCCCACCCCCCTTTTGCCCTCAGAAAAGCCTCCATTCGTCGGGGCATGGACTCTATAAGGTGTCAAGCGTTCCGCAGGGATGCTGGCCCATGTTGACTCCAATGCTTCCCACAGTTGTCAACTTGGCTGGATGTCATTTGGGTGGTGGACCATTCTTGATACACATGGGAAGCTGTTGAGCGTGAAACTCAGCAGCGTTGCAGTTTTTGATACAAACTGGTGCGCCTGGCACCTACTACCATAAAGCTGTTTAAAGGCACTTAAATCTTTTGTCTTGCCCATTCACCCTCTGAATGGCACACACTCAATGTCTCAATTGTGTCAGGGCTTAAAAATCCTTATTTAACATGTCTCCTCCCCTTCATCTACACTGATTGAAGTGGATTTAACAAGTGACATCAATAAGAGATCATAGCTTTTGCCTGGATTCACCTGGTCAGTCTGTCATGGAAGGTGTTCCTAATGTTTTGTACACTCAGTATATATATATATATATATTAGTCTAGTGAGCATGCATGCGTGGGGTCAGTGCAGATAGTTCGGGAACCATTAATTGACTATTTAGCAGCTTTATGGCTTGGGGGTAGAAGCTGTCTCTGAACCTGTTGTTCTGAGAGCCGACGCTCCGGTACCATTTGTTGGATGGTAGCAGAGTGAACAGTCTATGGTTTGGGTGGCTGGAGTCTGGCAATTTTTTGGGCCTTCCTCTGACACCACCTGATATAGAGGTCCTGGATGGCAGGGAGCTCGGCCCCAGTGATGTACTGGGCTGTCCGCACCACCCTCTGTAGCACTTTGCGGTCAAGGGCAGTGCATTTACCAAACCAAGCGGTGATGCAGCCATTCAAGATGCTCTCGATGGTGCAGCTTTAGACCTTTTTGAGGATCTGAGGGCCCATGCCAAATCTATTCAGCCTCCTGAGGGGGAAGAGGAGCTGCCATGCCCTCTTCACGACTGTGGACCATGTTAAGTCCTTAGTGATGTCAATGCCAAGGAACTTGAAGCTCCCGACCCCGCTCCACTACAGCCCCATTGATGTGGATGGGGGCGTACTCTCCCTGCTTTCTCCTGTAGTCCATGATCAGCTCCTTGGTCTTACTGACATTGAGGGGAGAGGTTGTTATCCTGGCACCACACTGCTAAGTCTCTGACCTCCTCCCTGTAGGCTGTCTCATCGCTGTTGGTGATCAGGCCTACCACCGTCGTGTAGTCAACAAACTTGATGATTGAGTTGGAGTCGTGTGTGGCCACGCAGTTGTGGGTGAACAGGAGGGGACTAAGCACACACCCCTGAAGGGTCCCCGTGTTGAGGGTCAGCGTGACGGAGGTGTTGTTGCCTACCCTCACCACCTGGGGCCGGCCCGTCAGGAAGTCCAGGATCCAGTTGCAGAGAGAGGTGTTCAGTCCCAGGGTCCCTAGCTTGGTGATTAGCTTGGAGGAGACTATGGTGTTGAACCCTCCGCTGTAGTCTATGAACAGCATTCTCATATAGTTATTTCCCCTCTTGTCTAGGTGGGAGAGGGCAGTGTGAAGTGCAATTGAGATTACGTCATCTGTGGATCTGTTGGGGTGGTATGTGAATTGGAGTGGGTCTAGGGTGTCTGGGATGATGGTGTATCATGACCAGCCTTTCAAAGCACTTCATAATTACAGATGCGAGTGCTACAGGGCGATAGTCATTTAGGCAGGTTACCTTGGAGTTCTTGGGAACAGGGACAATGGTGGTCAGCTTGACACATGTTTGGATTACAGACTGGAACAATAGGGGATTGAAAATGTCTGTGAAGACACTTGCCAGCTGGTCTGAGCATGCTTTGAGAACGCGCCCTGGTATTCAGTCTGGCCCTGTGATTGTTAACCTGTACACATGAAATTGTTTCATTCCGAACTTTATCCTCAGCGTTACATTCCATTTTGTGTGACTCGGCCTGCACAGATGCGCGGGGGAAACAGCACAACGCGACCAAAATGTATTATAACGTTGTGAATAAAGTTCTGAATGACACAATTTCATGTGTACATCTAAAGACCTACATGACTATACCGAGAGCGTGTCCGTTTCTAAAAGTACGTATTTTGGTGTTTATGGAGCTTTTGTTGTTGTTTTTTGTGTGCCCTGATACTGCACAATGAGCTATGAGGAAGTGAAGCGTTGCTGGGGTAAGTTTCTCAAAAACAAGCCAAATCACACAAAAAGTTTCTGGACCCTTCTAAAACATGCAATTTGCATCGAAAGGAGCAATGTAAATGGCTCCCCACGTTAGTCGCCTCCCCCCAGAAACAATGCCTCTGGTTGAGCGGATTCTTGTTCGTTTATGGCCCCATACAGTTCGTCGAGTGCCAGAGTGGTGTTGGATTGTAGAGAGACAGCTGTGATGATTATGGATAAGAACTCTCTTGGTAGAGAAAAGGGTCTGCAGTTACCATGACATATTCTGTATCAGGTGAGCAAAAGCTTGAGATTTCCTTAACACTGGAAGCAGCACACTAGTTGTTATTTATGAAAAAACACACCCCTCCTCCTTTAGACTTGCCCGACGCTGCCAATCCGATCGTGCCTCTGCATGGAGAATCCACTAAGGACTATGTGCATAGTGTCATCATCATACATGTCAGTCGTTCACCAATGAGTTATTCAATACTGAAGACAGTATCTGCTTGTTTTAAATCTATTCAGTCAACATCTGATTTAGATCTGAATGGACTGTGTACTCAATCAAATTGTTAAATTGATTAACTGTCCTTCAACTAGGCAGCCCTGCACTAAACAATGCTGAACTAAATGATTGTTTTAGCTTGAAGTGAGGATTCAACTCCATACAATAGTCTAACCGACAGTACTGTATAACATGTATATATCTCTATAACATTAGAACCGTTTCCTTTTTCTCTGGTGGCAGTCGGAGCAGAAGTGGAAGCAGCTGGCAGAGCTGGCCATCAGTAAGTGCCAGTTTAGCCTGGCCCAGGAGTGCCTCCACCATGCCCAGGACTACGGCGGCCTGCTGCTGCTCGCCACTGCCTCGGGCAACGCCTCCATGGTGGGCAAGCTGGCCGAGGGCGCTGAGCGGGACGGCAAGAACAACGTGGCCTTCATGACTTACTTCCTGCAGGGGAAGTGAGTACAAGGGAGGGTAGAGGGGTCCACGACAATGTCATATCCAGCTCAATTACATATCCAGCTTTCCTAAATACAGTAGCATTTAATAAGTTACAATAAGGTCTTGGAATCCTACACGACACTACTCCTGTATGTATGATCTATGATGGGAGCATGTGATCAGTAGCAGTGATTTGGACCTGTCTCTGATACTGGTCTCAGTCCCTTGTCTGTCTGTTTTTCCCCAGACTGGACCACTGTCTGGAGCTGCTGATCCGGACCAACCGGCTGCCCGAGGCGGCCTTCCTGGCCCGCACCTACCTGCCCAGCCAGGTGTCCAGGGTGGTCAAGCTGTGGAGGGAGAGCCTGGCCAAGGTCAACCAGAAGGCGGCCGAGTCGCTAGCCGACCCCACCGAGTATGAGAACCTGTTCCCCGGGCTGAAGGAGTCGTTTGTGGCTGAGCAGTTCCTCCGGGAGACCTGCCTGGGAAACTCCCGGCCAGCCACCGACTACCCTCTGGTCACAGTGAGTGGTGGGGGTTTGATGTGGGACACAATAAATTAAATGGAAATATCTGGCTTGCAAATCTAAACTGAAAGCTAGCTATGGATGCGTACTTGCTGCACAGGAGTAGTCCAACTTGAATAAGTAGTTCATCCTTATCTCTTCCATTGCTGTCTTCTGCTTATTTACTCACAATACCCATATCTTGTGTCTCTTTTTTCCAGCCCAATGAAGAACGTAATATACTAGAGGAGGCCACGGGCTACGAGCCCAAAGGAGCTCCCCTCTCCCTCGCCACACTGGTACCGGTATGTCTGCTTTTCAGAGACCTTCACTATACAGTCGAAGTAGTAGTCAACTTGATCAAAGGCCTTTTATTTAGATCTACACAGACTAGGTGTTTTTTCTATTATAGGCCGTGAAGTTAGAGATTAGAGTTTCACGTCTAGAAATGCATTCACGCGTTGGCTGGATTGATGGGCAAGACCGAGACAGCTGAAAACAGAGTCCTGCTCATGTCTATGTGTCTGTCAGCAGGCTGAAGACAGCAGGGAGGAAGAGACCACGCCGGCTGCTGGCGTGATGGCGGCCGTGACTGCCCCGGTGGCTGCAGCCGTGATCCCCTCGGAGCCAGAGGCTGCACCTGCAGAAGAAGAGGAGGAGGAGGAGGAGGAAGGGGAGGAGGAGAGCCCCGGTTCATCTGAGGCACTAAAGGACAAGGTAGGCAACAGTCTCCCTAGAAAGACAAATGTATAGTACGGCAGACACTGGACAAGTAATGCACTGTACCCAACGAGAAGAAAAGTATATGTGTCAGTACCATTAGTTGTGTTATGGGCCAGATGTTAACGTGTGTTTTTTCCCCCAGGCCCTGGACGAACTTGACGATGACCTGGACAACATGGAGCTGGACGACATCGATACCGCAGACGTCAACCTGGATGACGACTTCTCAGACGACTGAGACCCCCCCCTCCCCCCATCTCATCCACGCTATGAATATATTTAAGAGACCAAACCCCCTTTTGTATTTTTACTTAACATGTGTTTTGTTAGTCCTACAGTGTTTGGAAGACTGATGATGAATACATGCGAGGGAAAGAGGCAAATTATACTGTCTTGATTCTAAAGCAGATTTTGTACTTCATCCAGGGCCTTGCCTTCACTAATTATCCGTGCATTGAGCTATATATTTACTCTCTGTATGTGTACAATGGTAAATCACTGTTCATTTACGCCTAATAAATTGCTATTGCTGTACATTTATGTTGAACATTGGTGTTGTCGGTTTGACATTTTTGGGCCCACGTGGGATTTAATCATTAGATGCTGGCTTTTAAACTAAAACTCTAAAGTTAAATATTCAATTTGGTGTCTGTGCTGTGTTTGTGCTGTTATCAGCAAACATTCTTGCCTTCACAGTTGACTTGATTGTGTTATGGTTAACTCTGTTTTTACCTTCAGCGGATGTATTCATTTTTTCCGTTCCTCATGTATAACATTTGCTGGTTTTAAATGTTATTTCAGTCAAATTACTCTAAAGCAACTATTGACATACCAGTAAGCCATCTTAAAGGGATCGTTCACCCAAATTATAAAATTACATTGGTTTCCTTACCCTGTAAGCAGTCTATGGACAAGGCATGACAGCAATCCATGCTTTGGTTTTGTTTACCTGACCATTGTTTCTTAGCTTTTGTCGCACAAATGCTAGTCAATGGTACCTATATTAGCATTTTTGCACTTCATGTCCAAATAATCCTAAAGTATCTCAACTTGATTGTGTAACTCAATGAAGTTACTTCAAGTAGCATTTGAAACGGTGGCCAGGTAAACAAAACCAAAGCATGTATTGCTGTTATACCTTGTCTATAGAGTAGATTGCTTACAGCAGAGGTGTCAAACTCATTCCATGGAGGGCCTAGTGTCTGCTGGTGTTTGGTTTTTCCTTTCAATTAAGACCTAGACAACCAGGTGAGAGGAGTTCCTTACTAATCAGTGAACTTAATTCATCAATCAAGTCCAAGGGAGGAGGGAAAACCTGCAGACACTGCCCTCTGTGGAATGAGTTTGACACGTGGCTTACAGGGTAAGGACATTTTGTAGTTTTGGTGAACTATCCCTTTAAATTATGTTTTCGTATTGACCAGTAGGTACATAACTGAATAATGCTGCATTCATAACCAAGTGGGGAAGTAGTAATTAACAGTTGTGAATTCGTAAATACCAGTTGGATGTATTCATGTGCGTTGAGCTTGTTGAGAAATGCCGATTGGCTAATGGCCAACAAGCTGCATAAACTAAAAGTACAGCTATCATGCTTGTAAACAAAAACCAAATTAAAATATTGCTTTTTATAAATAATGTTTTGTAATATTTAAACTGATGAAAATTCTGTTATCAAGTTCATTTACTTAATAGGTGACGTCAGAGGTCAGCATGTGGGAGAAGTCGAAGCTCAGGGATGATAGTTTCCAACTAGTAATTACGAGTTGGAGGGACGTTCAAGTGGATTTACCCAGTCGTATGTGGTAAATACCACTTTCAACTTGGTTATGAATGCAGCATAAGAAAGGGGAAACTAATGTTCAGCAGGCCACACCATTGCGGAACATTCAGAAAAATATTTGCACGGATTCAACCACAAAGTTTGATTCAACAATCCACCACGTCAAACAGAGTATTAGTAATAGCTATGAGTGTGGATGTCTGCGCAGCCTAACTGCAATGTAGTCGATCTCAAACGTTCACCCTCCTCCAGGGCTTTGACTAGATATAGTATACAGTTTATGTCAAAAGTGATTTTTCGTAGCAGGTAAGACAATAAGGTTATGGTTAGGGTTAGCTAAAATGCAACAACAAAAAATTTGACATAAGTTGCCTGTATCCCATCTAGACATGACCCGCCCATAGACCGTATGGCACCAACCTACACCAACAGTGCCTTCAGAAAATATTCATACCCCTTGACTAATTCCGCATTTTGCCTGAATTCAAAATGGATTACCTTTGTTTGTTTTTTCTCACCCATCTACACACAATACCCCATAATGACAAAGTGAAAACACATACAATTCTCCCAGCTCTGTCAAGTTGGTTGTTGATAATTGCTAGACAGCCATTTTCAAGTCTTGCCATAGATTTTCAAGCCGATTTCAGTCAAAACTGTAACTAGGCCACTCAGGAACATTCAATGTCGCCTTGGTAAGCAACTCCAGTTTACATTTGGCCTTGTGTTTTAGGTTATTGTCCTGCTGAAAGGGGAATTTGTCTCCCAGTGTCTGTTGGAAGGCAGACTGAACCAGGTTTTCCTCTAGGATTTTGCCTGTGCCTAGCTCTATTCAGTTTCTTTTTATCCTAAAAAAAGACTCTAGTCCTTGCCGTTGACAAGTATACTCATAACGTGATGCAGCCACAACCATGCTTGATAATATGAAGATTTGGTAATCAGTGATGTGTTGTGTTGGATTTGCCCCAAACATAACGCTTAGTATTCAGGAGATAAAGTTAATTTCTTTGCCACATTTTTTGCAGTTTTACATTAGTGCCTTATTGCACACAGGATGCATGTTCTGGCATATTATTTTATTCTGTACAGGCTTCCTTTACTCTGTAATTTAGGTTAGTATTGTGGAGTAACTACAATGTTGTTGATCCATCCTCAGTTGTATCCTATTACAGCCATTAATTCATCTCTGTAACGGTTTTAAAGTCACGATTGGCCTCATGGTGAAATCCCTGAGCGGTTTCCTTCCTCTCCGGCAACTGAGTTAAGAAGGACGCCTGTATCTTTGTAGTGACTGGGTGTATTGATTCACCATCCAAAGTGTAATTAATAACTTTGCCATGCTCAAAGGGATATTTAATGTCTGCTTTATTATAATATTTTACTCATCTACCAATAGATGTCCTTCTTTATGAGGCATTGGAAAACCTCCCTTGTCTTTGTGGTTGAATCTGTGTTTGAAATTCACTACTTGACTGACGGACCTTACAGATAATTGTATGTATGGGGTAAAGAGATGAGGTAGTCATTCAAAAATCATGTTAAACACTATTATTGCACACAGAGTGAGTTCATGCAACTTATTATGTGACTTGTTAAGCACATTTTTACTCCTGAACTTATTTAGGCTTGCCATAACAAAGGGGTTGAATACTTATTGACTCAAGACATTTCAGCTTTTCATTTTTAATTATTTTGTGAACATTTCTAAAAACATAATTCCACTTTGACATTATGGGGTATTGTGTGTAGGCCAGTGACACAAAATCTAAATTGTATCCATTTTAAATTCAGGCTGTAACACAATAAAATGTGGAAAAATTCAAGGGGTGTGAATATTTTCTGAAGGCACTGTGCGCAAACACGTATAGCTACGTACTGTGTCCTCTGCCTTTCTGGCCGCACAGCCGACTAGCGTCCAGTGGGAGACCGGGAGTCTGGCATCTTGCTAAAAGAGCCCCTGGCTAAACTGGCCACTCAGTTCAAACTTGGTCACTCCTACTGACACGTACTTTACTTTTATTTTGTAGCTTACTACTCGGCTGGGAAGGACGCGATTACCAGAGCAAGAGATGTCCCGGGTAATAAAATGTATTGATCGATTTATTGGTAAACTGATTGCCTCATTTACATGCTAATTGCAACATTTTTGTGTAGACAAGCAGTAAATAAGGGTAAAATAAATATATCAATCTATAGTTAACCATGCTAGCTATCTTAGCTGTGTAAACATGCAAATACATTTCAGCTACAAAACCCGCTAGGTGAATCAAAACTATGAAATAACACATATGGAGTCATGTAACCCATAAAGTGTTAAACAAATCAAAATATATTTTATATTTGAGATTCTTCACAGTAGCCACCCTTTGCCTTGATGACAGCTTTGCACACTCTTGGAATTCTCTCAACCAGCTTCATGAGGTAGTCACCTGGAATGCATTTCAATTAACAGATGTGCCTTGTTAAAAGTTAATTTGTGGAATTTCTTTCCTTCTTAATGTGTTTGAGCCAATCAGTTGTGTTGTGACAAGATAGGTTGGTATACAGAAGATAGACCTATTTGGTAAAAGACCAAGTCCATATTATGGCAAGAACAGCTCAAATAAGCAAAGAGAAACTACAGTCCATCATTACTTTAAGACATTTTTTTATTTATTTTTTTATTTCACCTTTATTTAACCAGGTAAACCAGTTGAGAACAAGTTCTCATTTACAACTGCGACCTGGCCAAGATAAAGCAAAGCAGTGCGATAAAAACAACAACATGAAGGTCAGTCAATCTGGAAAATTTCAAGAACTTTGAAAGTTTCTTCAAGTACAGTCGCAAAAACCATCAAGCGCTATGATGAAACTTGCTCTCATGAGGACCGCCACAGGAAAGGAAGACCCAGAGTTACCTCTGCTGCAGAGGATAAGTTAATTAGAGTTACCAGCCTCAGAAATTGCAGCCCAAATAAATGCTTCACAGAGTTCAAGTAACAGACATATCTCAACATCAACTGTTCAGAGGAGACTGCGTGAATCAGGCCTTCATGGTCGAATTGCTGCAAAGAAACGACTAATAAAGGACACCAATAATAAGAAGAGACTTGCTTGGGCCAAGAAACACGAGCAATGGACATTTGACCAGTGGAAATCTGTCCTTTGGTCTGATGAGTCCAAATTTGAGATATTTGTGAGAGGCAAACTGGTGAACGGATGATCTCTGCATGTGTGGTTCCCACCTTGAAGCATGGAGGAGGAGGTGTGATGGTGTGGGGGTGCTTTGCTTGTGACACTGTCTGTTATTTATTTAGAATTCAAGACACACTTAACCAGCATGGCTCCCACAGCATTCTGCAGCGATACGCCATCTGGTTTGCGCTTAGTGGGACTATCATTTGTTTTTCAACAGGAGAATGACCCAACACACCTCCAGGCTGTGTAAGGGCTATTTGACCAAGAAGGAGAGTGATAGCGTGCTGCATCAGATGACCTGGCCTC